AAATAAGGGTAGCCCATTGTTACGTTCCACGAAAACCCAGCGGCACAGGTATAATTCTTAAAATCAACACACCTTATAATTGCAGGCTGTTTAAAATCACAGATTTTGTTTGGGCCGCCTGTGCTGTAAAATACCCATAAAATTTTGATTTATTACTTTGTGTTGATTGCGATTCTACTGTAAAATCACTTCTAAGTCCATGGTACACGGAATTCCACCCCAGATATTGCAAGCGATCGACCAAAATTGGCTTTTTGGCCACTCCTGATATAGGGTATAAAAAAAATAGCATTATAGTTAGTCCCAGACCAAGCAAACTAAATCAGATATATTTAAAAGGGTCTATTTTAAGGAGACGTACCCATCAAATTAAATTATTAAACAACATCAATTTTTAAAAATTATAAAAAAACATTTCCAGGGGCGTCCGTTACGTGTCTCCGTAGGAGGAGCCATAGGAATTTGTCGTGTTATTTTTATGCCTTTTATCTGAATCCGGAAGATTGCCCTCATATTCTGGGACACCCTATATCAAGGGCGGCTCAAGGGGGGGTGGGCTATGGGGGCTATGCCCCCCGAGATGAAAATTCGTACGATATATGGGCCTTTTATTCAAAAAAATATACTAAAAAGGGAATGGCTAAAGGCAATGCATCCCGCCCGAAAATTCGTCTAGGAGCCGCCCTTGCCCTATATAGTATGAATAAACCACCAAAACAACTGTTATTAGGTATTGTATCAAAGAACCTTCTATATAATTGTCACACTCAAAGTTCTGTTTACGTTCGTCGTTCTATTGGTCCCGAATCTGTGTGACATAATCGAAAATAAACATTCGCACACAGCAAACATAAACAATATATATTCGAGACTCGCCTAATCCAGCAAGTGCAGGTTACCAAGTAGGTAAAGGTAGTATGTAAAGCGGAATGTATAAAAAGTGAGTCATGATCAAAGTGGGCGGAGGCGTAAAAGTAAACCCTACATGGCGTGCAAGAGATGGTGGCCAAGGTCGCCCGTTTGTCTGACAAAACCTACGCCTTCGGTATAAATCTGCGATTTCTTTTTTACTCTAACGATTTTGCATTTAATGCATTTTTATTTTGTGCTTGTTTCCTGCATTCTGGTTTCATGTACATGCAACGTTAGCTTAACTTTTTTCAGGGGCAGTTTATTCATTAAACCTCCAGTAAGCCATTGAACAAAAAATACGAACAATATACCGACCTAGTATTTCTAAAAATTAAACGAAATGAAATATCTGACTGGCTCTGTAGTACCATGTAAGAAAAACATTTTTATTTATAGAACAATCGTTTAAAAAGTTTAAATTATTATTCCTCATTAGCTCATTAGTTTCATTCATGATTAATGTAACGGGATCGTTTCTTCTTTAGTTGTACTTGCAGTGGGGCGTCTCTAGTGCAAATTAGTATAGAGAATTCACCAGATATTGTTCGTCCTCTACATCAGTTACCAAAGAAAAATAAAATGTATCACTTTTTCAGTCCCCTTCACACCAAACAATTCCACATTTTTTAACGTTTAGGTAATTTGTACTTTGTAAAGTAGTTAATAAAAAACAAAAACAAGACGAAGAACAAAATATAATGGAGCCCCTAGCACAAAAAAAAAATTGAAAATAGAAGGTAAAGTTGTAGTAAAGGTAATGTATGTACTAAGGCGATTTTTCGATAAGTACAATTATTAATAAACAAATTTAAAAAAATGTTTACTGCTTACTGATTATATTCCATTTCACACCATAATTAACCTTTCGGTAGTTTGGAGGAACGTTCTAAGTTCTAATACTGTACCTATAAATAAAAAAGAATTAGAAAAATGATTGATAGGTAAATATAAATGAAAACTAATACTTGTTGACTTAACACGTTCACGACCGCTACTATGAAATTTGACGTTGTTAGAAACCAACCTCGTTTTTTTGGGTGGCATAACTTTTTGACCGAAGTATTATATATTTTATAGGTTATATGTGTTTTTTTATCTATTTTTTGTGTGCCAGACACGCTCAGAAACTGACGCCAAAACACATCTGTCGCCCGGGAGTTATTTGCATTTAATCATTGTAGGGTCATTGTTACACATTTGTGACATCAGTTTCTGGAAAAAACTGCTTGTCACATATATGTGACGCGTGGTCGTCAACGTGTTAATAAAGAATCAATATGTACAATCACTTGACATTCATACACTCCATTGTCTAGGTATAATATTATTGTACGCCCTTTAATCTTCTGAAATAATTATTTACCTTTTCCACCCATTTTAATCATGTACAAAATTTACAATAAAAAAACTACAATTAAGAATACAAAAACAACACAAAATGAACAGAGGAATTCAGTGGTGAGATTACAAATATTTTTAAACATTACAACATGACAACAATGCCCTCAAATACTCAAATATTTGAAATTTACGTTGTAACGTATTATTATTAAATGTAATTTAAATAAAACACTCAATAGTAAGTACTCGCATATTTAGGGGATTGGCTTTACGTCAATTGAGACCACATGGGGAGGTAAAATAATAGACATCTTTGGGTAAAATATGCATGTCGCGTCATAAGACTTGCGCATTGATCGATAGCAGCGGAAGTGAATAATGGTACCAACGTACTAACAGCAAATACACCACACATATTATGGCCATACATGCGCGTCAACGTGCACATTAATACATACCTCGATCCTTCTACAACTTTACAAATAAAGTTATCCAGATATTCTCGGACACTTTCATCATGCGACCGCCGACCGGACACCGGAAAAACCTTTAAAAAACTAGACAGTCTGGGTGAAAACCATACAGGTGGCATCCCTATATTTTTATATACTACAATTTTTTTAATCAATCTGTATAATTGGAAAAAATAAAAAATTATACTCAATGGGTAGTGTAAATATAAATTTGCCTTTACTTGAAACTTAGTAACAAATCATGCTTATTTTCCAATAAATAAATTGTTTAGCTAGATTTGTGGAATACGAATTATTTAATAATACGATTATATAGACTTTAAGAACATTAATTAAGATCCAGAAATTATACTTTTTAAAATATAAGCACGATTTATTCCTTATTTTTAGATAAAAGCAATTACCTACTTAATTTTTAGTCACACTACCCATTGTCTTACTTTTGATACTACTTGATACTACTAAGACTAGCAGTTTCCATATTGTTATTTGGCAAAATCTTTGGTTTAATGGGATTTAGTATCCTAAAAGTGTACAAATAAATAATAATTAGTGTATTTATATTTATTAAAAATAATAGATTAATTCAATTAGAATGAATATTTTTTAAAATTAGATAAGCTTGCAGAAAGACCGAATCTAAATATAATTTTTTTAACAAACATTTATCAGGTTCTTGTCAATTGATAAAAAAGTTATGGTGGAGCCATGATTCAAAATATATATTTTTTTTTACTTTTTAAAGTTAGGCTTTTTCATCTTCAAACGACTCTTTAAACGACCATGAGGCCAAAGAGGCCATAAAATACATTTAGCACGAATTTATCACGAAGTTTCATTAACAATTTTTATACCAACCATTCAGTACAATAGTATCAATCAAATAAATAAAGATCTCAAAGTTTCAAGTACAATTTTTGTCCCAACTATTTAGTACATTAGTATTAATAAAAAAATATATATAAATCATTAAATTGCAAGACCTTGCCATTTGGGAACGCGATATTGATGCAAGCGACAGTGACTGGCAGCAAACACTGCCGTGTTAATGCTGTTGGGTCTCTTGCATCAGACGTAAAGATGCCGTTTTCGGTCTCCTTACGCGGTCGCATGCCTGTGTCTTCTGTCTCGGTCCGCGTTCCCAAATGTTACCTTTAAGGTACAATTTGGGAAATCGAGACTGATGTAATCGACAGAGATAGGCAGCAAGGCTACTATATTAAAAGTGCTGACGGGTTTCTTTCATCAGTCGCGCTGAGCCAAATGTACTTCATTTAATTATAATATGTGATTCAGACGTAAAGACACATTTCGGTCGCCTTACGCGATCGCTTGCCTCCTGTCTAGGTCTCACGTTCCCAAATAGTACCTTAAATATTTTTTTTAGCTATGTTATGGATGGAAATATTGGTTAGATTTTCTAACTTGTCAAAAAGAAGCTTAAAACGGAATTTAAAAGAAGATACTGTCATAAGAATATATATTTTTTTAAATTTATAAAGGTTATTTACCCAGGTGCATAAAATATATGTTTCTCTTTCAAAACGATTGTTTAGTCTATTTATGTTTTATTAGGGTTTTAAAAAGTCAAGGAAAGAGAAATTACCTCCGCAATTGTGAATTTGTATCAATTTTATTACCGATTTTATGGACGACTGAATGTTAATTCACTGGAATACCAATAATTTGTAAATTGTAAAATCGGTATAGTTCCAACTCAAAGATATTTTTGCTAGTGTCACGATAAGAATTCAGTACACCTGTTATCGCTTGCACTTTGATTTTTGATCTCGCCGAAATTTTCAAACTTAGAATTATATTTTTGAGTTCTACTTTATATTAAAATAAAATTGAACAGTTTGAAAACTGATCTTGAGTTTGTGCACGTTGTTCTGTTTTTTTGGTGCTTATTTTTTATTGAGCGAATACGTTTTAATAATTTTGTGTGTAACTATACTACACTTGAATGTGTTGGTAGTGAAACTTGTATTAAGATCAAGTGATTATTATTAAGGTTTATGTGCAGAGTGACACTTTGTTTAATGAGTGCAGATATGCTTATATCTAATTTTGTGTTTCAGCTTCATATAAACCGATATAATAGTCGTAACTCATCCTGTAATAAGTTTGACCAAATATCATACAATTCTTCTACCCAATTCACTACTTTTTTTATCATTAGCATGGTCATACGTATCAACAACAGAAAAACACTAAAATCACTCCGGAGCTTCTGAATTAAATTTCTAATGTTCCCATCGTTTTTTTTTTCAGTATCAACAAAATCAACAGTCTATCTGATTTCCAATTCTGCACACGCCTGGAAGAACTGTATGTGCGACAGAATGACATTCAAGATATATGTCAAGTTATGTACCTGCAATCCTTGCCGAATTTAAAAAATTTGTGGTTGGGGGAAAACCCGTGTGCCAATGTGGATGGGTAAGTGAGATGCAGAATTATTTTGACACTTGTTTAACTTATACCCGAAAACTTGCAAACTTGGCTTCGTTTTGGATATAATAAAGATTACGTTTTAATTAAATTTAGAAAATAACATATCTTTATGTTTTAGGTACCGCCTTGCCATTATAAGGGCACTACCTCAGCTTCAAAAATTAGATAACATCCAGATAACTCAAGAGGAACTTAAAGAATCTCAACGAAGAGGTAAAATCCTCATTCACCCCGAAGATTATCAAGAAGAAAGCGAAGAAGAATATATACCTCCTCCATCTCCTCAGCAACGAGGTACTAGATCCAGGGACCAATACTCAGAGACTGAATACAGCCCTACGCGTGAGAGCCCGACAGCCAAGGAGGATATACGGGTAAGGACATGTATACATTTTTTTTCTTTTTTATATACAATTGTACAGAAATAGCTCAGTCTAAGAGAAGCTAGAGTTGAAGCATTTGAAATGATCGTATTTGTATAATTGGATCATAAATGTGTTCTAAAACAATTCAATCATCGGTTAATTGGATAATAAGATGTTAATAGCGACGATAAAATATGACGTTAAAGATTAATGGGTATTATGAAGAATGATTGATAAGCAAGTTTAAATTTGTTCTGGCATTATTAATAAAGAGACATTAAGTTATCTAAATTTTCGGTAATAAGAATGTTTAAACGAATTTTATTATCGTTTATGAAACTGGCCAAATTTGAGCAGTTGAATAACGTTTACGATTTAATAAGACTTTAAGAAATACCAACAATATTACGAGGAGCACCAAATAAGTTCGTGGTAAATGCAAATCAAAATTCGAATTACGTTATTTATTTATTGTTTAATATACAAAATTTAATAGCAAAACTTTATAATATATTTTCGACTGTAAGCGAAACTAGCAGGTACACTTTTATGAGGACTGTTCTCAGTAAAATTTTAAAACTCTATTTTTAAATTGCATATGGCCTAAGGATAAATCTAAGTCGGCTAAAACGCTGATTTCGTTTATGTTAATCGCTCTATTCTTCTCAAATCAGTCGCCTTTAAAATCTATACACTTTTGTATCTGATGAAACCAGTCTTCAAAACACTTTTCTTGAGGCGAGGAAAAATGCTCTCCAGGCATTTTATTTTTAATGTGCCGGAATAAGACGAAGTCATTGGGCGATAGAGCAGGCGAATACGTGCAATGAGTCATTGATTGGATGTTATTAAAGGTCAAAAACTCGGTAGTCCGCTGTGCTGTGTGAGCGCTTGCATTGTCATTATTGAGAATGATTCGCCGGTTAACGTTGTTTCTTCTGATTTCAGCGATAACTTCCGGTAAAAAAATTAAGTATACCAGTCACAAGGGGTGAACAACTAAGGTCAAACCGTACCTGCATTTCGAAAGTCACCAAACATTCGTATGATTTCAGCGAAATCAATCATGGTTCTATATGATTTCGGTGATTTTGTTGAAATCCTCCTTAATTTTATACGATTTCTGTGATATCACCGAAATCATTAATATTTTTCAAGGAATGATCTACAAATTTTCTTCTTAAGGAATATTCAAATGACCTTTTTTGTGGGCTCTTCGCTTGTTTTTTGACCGACCTTTTTTGCTCTTTACTTGCTTTTTGATCCGCCACATGCTGCGCGAAATCACCGAAATAACTTAATTTTTTTAGGTGATTTCCGAAATACGGGTACGTTTTGACCTTAGTGGTTTCCTCTCGGCGGTTCGTTTCCTCACAGTTTCATGTTCATCATATTTAGCAGGTGTGAGACGTCTGCTAAGCAAACAGCTCTTTTATTTAATGCTTCAACAATAAAGTAAGCCACAATATCATGTGTCCCTTGCACTTGGACAAGCAAAAATCTCATGATCAGAATTTAAATTTATGCCTTTACAAAGTTCTTTGAACTGACAAGCAGAGATAACAGGATAATTCATTGATCAAATATAATATTCCTGACGCCGACATCGATATCACAGTCGATATGTTCTAGTTGTAGATCAGGAGTGAAGAGACATGTGATATGATGTAAGGGAAGGGATAAACTCAAGGATTTGACGGCCCTAACAATTTTATCAATGAATATATTAAGCCGATAATAAACAAAATGCAAGCCCTGTTACCACCTCTAGTACAAAATACTTGATATCCAACTTAACAATAACTAGGTTTTGGAATTTATTGAAAATTATTACATCTAATTTAGCGAAATTACATTTACTTAATTTGGTTTAATTTGATATAACTAATGATTCAAAATTTTTTGGGTTCAGTTATAATAGAATAGGTTAAATTATTTTATCTTTTTTAAGATATGTGAATAATTTTGTTAACAAAACGGGAATAATGAAGAGCGGATATTATACCCTCCTGTGTCCTTTAGAATATGTCTTATTCACGACAGCACGATATTTGTTTGTAGTTACATCTCCTATTTTCTCTGCTGACAAGTATTGAGGCCTACATATAAGTAATATAATTCAAAATTTGGATTAGATAATTAAGTACTTCTTGTAACGGAGCTGAAATAGTTTTACTGGTAAACTCATATCAATGAATCATGCAGTGAATGCCCTTTGCTTGGGGAGAAGGTTCTTTCATTTTGTTTGAAAGTCCGGCTGGTGTTCTATGTGTACAAACCCTACAAACGTTTGTTCACTTTAGTCCTCAAGTTTCAAAGAAAGTATTTATCTTCGCCTTTTGAAGTGGGCACAAGTATAAAACAACTCTTCTTTTATGTTATCTGATTGAATAATGTAATATTTCGCAATTGAGAACTTATATCCGTTGATCTTACAGGCGGTTGAATTTAATAAATACATGTTAAAAATATCTAAGTGAAATTTTAGTAAAAATAATGTGGTGACCCCTATAAAACATTTTGAGACACCCTCTGGGGACGCGACCCACAGGTCGGGAATCAACTCCAAAACAGTTGCAACATGGCATATTTTGACGAAGAAATATCGTATCATTTTTTTCGAAACACTTCGTGAGTGCACCATTTTGTTGGTTTAGGTTGATTTTGAAACATCCATACAGTCGATTGCTGTTTAGTTTTAGGCTTATATGAATATATCCAAGATTTCTCACCCGTTACGATGTTATATATACAATTTGAGCGACCAGCTTCAAATTTTGAGTATTTCCTTGCACCACTTAACACGTGCCCGTTTTTGTTTTCTCAAATTGTATGTGATCCAACAACTGCGAGTGATAGGGAAAAATCGTTTGTATTTGTTTCACTGGCAATTCCTAAGGATGCCCCTACTCACTATATGTAGGCCTGCCAACTGCCATCACCTAAATTGCCGACGCTGGACAAATATCTGATAAATCTGTTGTTTATCATTTAGATGAAATTCAGTTTTTTCTCCGGACATCGATTTTTTTACAATAAAAATAAACATTTTCATTTTTTTTATTGATATAAACAGCTTCTTTACTATTTATTTATAATAGCAATGTTTGACAAAGTCGACATAAAAAAGGGCATTCGGTGGTCAAGTATTTTAGCTGCGTCTGCCAATTTATTGCTTATCATTCAATTAATCCAGTTTCCCTCTGATACACAAGTGTCCAGGTTTCACTCGGACACTCTTTTGAAAACCCGCCTCCTCGGATGCCTTCCAAACTAGGACAAATCCGGGGAAATCCGGACGGTTGGCAGCCCTAACTATATGTCACTCACAGCATTGGTAGTTTTCGCGACTGGAGGTGCATGGACGACCTTAGCAAAAATCGTCATCAAATAACGAACTAAGTTTTCCACACATTGCAGCAGCGTTAAACATATAGGGATTTTTTAAACTGATTGACAGCGCTCATTTTAGCCATTTTTTCCTTAGATTTGCAGCTGCAATACGCGCTACTTTCGGAAATAAATTTACGGTAACAGTTTGGTTACATATCTTTATATTCTGGTCTCTAAGAATTTCCAGTTATGTTCAGTGTCTAATTTTCGAAAATAAATGTTTTCTGTACATTTCCAAAATCATTGGTATTCTTAAAAAAAAAAACAAGAAATGAATAAGACAGTCAGCTGTGCTTAAAAATGTGTGTAATAGATACGTTTCATAATTAGTTATTTTTAGTAACCAACATTTGGATGAACTTTGATATTTTAACTGTAGTTATAGAATTAATTTTGATTTGTTTTTATGCAAGGGGATTTTTCATAATAATTGAAATAGTTTGGAGGACTTAATTAGTGAAAATGTAAAATTATAATATATTTTTATTAGTTTTCACATCTCAGTTGTTTAATTTTATTTTAACAAATTATTTACACAATCATGAAAACGAAAAACTGCAAATAGTTTATTTCTTACTTTGTTGTTTAATCTAATTTACACCATGAAATCAATAAATAAAACGATTGCCAAATGATAAATGATAAATTAATAGTGTGGGTATACAGGGGTTCAGAAATGTTCTTGTCAAATTCCGTAGATGTTCGGCGAGAATCACCATAACCTTCTATAATAATTAATATTTATTTCATATGTATATACGACACAGTCCTAGGGGATACTTTAAAGAAAATCGATCGGGTATATCAGGGGATTTTGTAAACAAATCCGTAAATGTACTGTACATTTGCTGTCCATCTCTAAATTTCAATGCTACGCTGTAACCACCTTAATTTTTAAAGCACTTATGACCATACCGTCGATTTTCTTGTAAGAATGCATTCAGCCAAGTCTGACTTGCAAAATCGTTTATAAATACAGACCTTAAGTTTATTTAAAAGAGGTATAAAAGTCTAAATATTTAATCAGCTTTTCTAATATCTTCATCTTTTTGTTATATTTATTAATTTAAAAATGTCAAATATAATACAGGGTGTCCCACTATAAAGTTACACATTTTAACAGCTTAAAACTTCTTACATTTGTTTCAAGTTTTTGTTGACATAGTTGCCAAATGTATATTTTTTCCCGAATTTGCCGGAAAAAATGGCTTGTTTTGTCGATTATTAAATTTGAGTGTGTTCGTTCTTGATCTATTTCACATAAATTATTTGACTTTTCTTAACGTCAGTTGATAAAACGATGTCTAAAATGTCATGTGGCTTTGGAAAAAGGACATAGTTGATTATAAGAGTATCAGATCATTTTGTATTTCGAGTAAACTAGAAAATACACCCATAAAATTTATAAAAAAATGAATAAACTTTTACATCAAATTCCAACAATCTTACAATTACATGTTTTTTATGTAGATTCATAAAAAAATATCTCCCGCAAACCTTTAATAAATAATCACAATGTATACATTTTAGAAAAGGGAAAGAAAGAGACTTTCAGATGGTATGAAAAAATTGAAGAGTTTTCTGTTTAAGGTAAACCGATAGTTCGGCTTAAGAAAAGGCAATTTTTTTCCGGCAGTTTTGGAAAAAAATATAGATTTGGCAACTATGTCAACAAAAACTTGATAAAAAAATGTAAGAAGTTTAGCAAAAACTGTACGTCGATATCTTTTCAATTCTCAAGTTATAAGCTGTTAAAATGTGTTACTTTTTAGTGGGATATTTTTTGGATTTTCTTGGAAAATTTCTTACATTGTAGTAGGTAAACAAACTGGGTAAAAGTTTCTTCTTGATAAAAAGTTCCGCATTACTATGAAATCCATAATCAATCATTACATTTTGTAAAATGTTTGATGGTATACTGTAAAAATTATAAAGTAATTATTTATTCTAAATAGTCAGCTACTTTAAAATTCAAATATAGAATAATGTCATTTTAAAATGTTGATATGAATTGAAATATTTGTTAACATGTAAATTCATGCTTTCTATTTAGAAAACTGTTCTTAGAAGTTTATTATTTAAATATATTTAATGATTTTTCATTATCCGTTTAAATCAATAATAACCATAATTATTTTTCAACACTGCATTAAAAAGAAAAACAATCAAAATTAACATAAAAATAATAAGCTGTCCAAATGATGTTATCCAAAACATATTACAACAGCCCGAACTTGATTTACTGCAGCCAAAATTTTCTTTTATCTGCATATGTTTCATTTAAATTGGTAAGCAGATACTGCCGAATTTAACGGAATTCCGTGTCTACTATACCAAATAATATTTCCCTAGTGGTAAACAAACCACTAAGGTCAAAACGTACCCTTATTTCGGAAATCACCAAAAATTCGTATGTTTTCGGCAAAATCGCCCATGGTTCTAGGTATATGATTTCGCCGAAATCTCCCTTAATTTTATCATATATAGTGTGTTCCATAAAGTTGGATCCATATGGGAAAAAAACGTCATTCTCCTCTGCTTTTTAAAACACTTAAAATAGCCCATACTAAAGTTGGTTAAGTACTACATTAGTCATCTGTCAAATTCGGTATTTTTTTGAAAAATCTTTCCAAAATTATTTTTTTAAAAATCTTTCTAAAATTATTTTTTTAAAATGTGAATTTGACAGATTGTCCTACGACGTTTTTTTCCAATCGTGGTACTAAAAAAAAATCTCATATGGATCCAACTTTATGGCGCACACTGTATAATTTTCCAATGACTGATCTATAAAATTTTCTTCTTGAATATTCAAGTGACCTTGTTTTTATGTATCTTCACTTGTTTTTTGATCGACCCTTTTTTTCTTTTCACTTGTTTTTCTGATAAAAAAATTGATTTAGAAGTGATTTCCGGTGAGGATTTCGGAATTTCCGTAATGATATCGGTGATTTCGTAAGAATTTGTAGCGATTTCGGTGATTTCGGCGAAATCCCCCTTAATTGTATATAATTTTGGTGATTTCGCTGAAATCGTCATCATTATGTAATTTCCCAATGAATGATCTGTACATTTTCAGCATGACTATTCAAATTTTTTTTGTGCCTCTTCATTGGTTTTTTGATCAACTTTTTTTTTACTCTTCAATTGTTTTTTGATCCACCACCTGCTGCGTTTATATATATTTCGGAGAGAAAAATTGATTCTGAAGTGATTTTCGGTGAGGATTTCGGGATTTCCGTCATGATGTCGGAGATTTTGAATTTGTAACGATTTCAATAATTTCGAGTGAGTACAGTATTTCGGGAGTAGGTACGATGAATTTACAAATAATTTGGAAAAAATTATATTCTCATAATATAACTTATTGAAAATTCATTTTTTTCTTATTATTTAATTTCCTTTGTTATATATTCTCACTTTGTAAATTAATTCCAAATCATCATGATAAGCATTTCTCTTACTATCATCAATCAAATTATTAATTTTGTCACGTACTTGGTGTGTGCACCGTTTGTTAACCACACTAAACGTAGCATTTACATTCATATTTAACAAATAACAATTCATTCACGCAGACTACGGACTACGAGGAAACAGAAGACAGCGAAGAAAACTATCCAAAGGAAGAAGGCTCCGAAGAAAGTCACGGGCAATCGCCGCCAATACAGGTAAGGGGATTTTTTCATATATGCTGGTTGAGAAAAATGCCAATAATAAAAGTATTATATCCGTTACCTTTCTTTAATGGAATGTCCCCTTGAAGAGTAGCAAAAACTATAAATCTGATTTTCGACTCAGAAGTACACGAAGATTAATTTGATACATTTTTTAATTTTAAACTACTAAGGAAAAAAGCAATTTTGAACTTGACATATTTTAACATCTCTTAACTTTATACACTTTATTACTTTAAACGGGAACGTATTTATTAGCCCTTTCAAAAAATAATCATCGTTGCTTTGCAAACTAGGAGGTCTCTTCTAAAGTCATATATTAGGTTAATTCGCCCTTATTCGGGACTGTTCGAGTATTTTGATGCATAAATCTCGATTTTTTTCTGTAAAAACAAAACGCCTTTGGAAACCTATTCATGATTTTCTGGAATAGTGACCAGTAAGTCGAATAATATTCACAGTGATTGACCATTACAACGATAAACAGTCATGATTACTCCAGAGCAGTCTCAAAAAAAAAAATAAGTAGATTTTTGAGCACAAATCAAACTGATCATGTAGTAAACGCGATGCTTCCACCCTTACTCTCTTCTAATTAATATTTTTGTCATGTTCAGTGCATCAGATATTCGTTTTAGCCCAATTCGATGGTGTTTTAATATCATGTCATGAACTGCATCAATATTTTAGGGACCAGACATTTTCTGGTATTTCTTCATCTTCAAAGGAAAATGTATCTCTTTTGAGACACGCACTCTAATTTTTCACGGTCGCATTCAAGGGAAATTGATTGCCAAAGGAAAAATGTTGAAATGGTTTTTCTGGTGGATTTCCGAAAAAAAAATAATAATCATAATAAATTTTTTTTTTCAAGATTGGCAAAAGAAGAAATATAATTACAAGGTTGGAGTAGGTACTTCCTACGCTATAATTAACGTGAAATAATTGCATCATTTAATAATAATAACCAACAATAAAATGTCGTAATATTTTGACACCATGCATAAAACTAATATACTATCTCCATTTGTGTACTAATTACTAAATTACAAATCAACACCCTTCATTTGATGAGTTATAATTATGAATAGGGAAAAAAAACTTATTTTCAAAATAATATGAAAGTCAACAATGAATAAAGAAAAACTCAGTCTGTCAACCATTATTTTATCCTATAAATATTTTTTATTAAATAGACCTTTCGACGCTAAGGTTATTCTGGTTTAAATTAAATAAAAAACAATGTTGTGTAGAAGAATCTGCAAAATATATTGGATAGGTACTAATATAGTGAAACTGAATTCTTACCATAAATGTTAAGACAAATCGTTAAAAATTTGTTAAAAGGTAACATAATAATGAAATGCTGTATTTAGAATCTCAAATTTAAATTTATTCGATGACCAAAAATTAGTTACAAGTCAAGCGGTGTTCTGTGAGTAAAGCCCGATCGGGAAGTTGAAGACTCTCCGCGGGGAAAACATTAAATAATAGTTACTACGCCTAACCCTAATATTAAAAGGGAAGACAGAGTAACTATAAACAAAATACGCCGACGAATTGAGACCCTCCTTTTTTGAAGTCGGTCAAAAAGTCATAACTAAAATATAATAATGCTCCAAATTTACATTACCTAGATGAGAAAAAGTGTTGTTTCTAGTACCATTGTGTAGACATAAATGGTCTTTTAACAGATTTTCAACAGCTTCCTGAAGTTACTTGGAAACAACACAGAATATGATTTTTTTTAAGGCAGAGCTGCATATTTAAATGTAGTTTTTCATTCTAAATAGATTTTCTTTTTTTTTTTTGGATTTTATCAAAAATAAAGGTAAGTAGTTTATTTTTGCACCAAATTTATATTTTGTAACATACCCCGTAAACGTCCGATAATATAGAGATTCTGAAGATTATTTTATAGCTTTTAGACAAGACAATTTATATTCAGTAACATTTTTCGCAAAACTAATAATAAAAATGTTTCATTACCTAAGTAGACACCTATATTTATACACCAACAACAAAAACTGTACACTCACTCCTACGACATTAGTTACTTTTATAGCTACTCTCTCGCTTCTTGTCTCTCAATGGTAACATGGGGCTTTCTTTTGTTTCAATTATGTAAACATTCAAAATCATTTCCTTAATTTCTACAATTAGATGTTTTTTCTATCGCTTTCTAGTAAGTTTATAATATCTTTTGTAGATTCTGTCCCAGATATTATTTTTTTGTTGCCATATACAACTAGAAAAAGGCTAATAGAACAATAACTCAATTCATTCCGTTTTAGACCTTATTGGGACACTCTACATTGGCCCTTTTAATGAGCGTGCAACAAAATAATTAACCAAACGAATCCGTTTAAATGGGAATGCTTAAGCCGACCCTGTAGAGCGCGACCTTGAAGCCTGCCACTCGACTCATGGACGAAACACCGCTGATGTACAGATACAATCTCGAATCTACCAGTAAAAGCAATACGTGGCCGTTGAGTCATAGAGATGGAATTTTCGGGTGACATTCGAGAGCGTCTAGAAACTACGAGTACAGAGTGGGTTTTGTATAAATATCGCGAGTTCTTCGACTGACGGGAAGTTTAAAATAAAGCATTGGGCTGAAAAGATAAATTATAATAAATAAATTAGAATTGTGAGTTAGTGCCTAAGTATTATATAAATTAATTAGTACGTCATAAATAAATTGTAAATAGTTTGTTTTAAATAAATAAATTAAATAAACGTCACATTGGTGTCAAAAGTGGTTTCAAACCATCAGCGAGATTGGGATCAGTATCTTTCGCTCTTTGCAATGGTATATAGATCCGCTGTCAATGAATCAATAGGCCAAACAAAGTAAAGGTCATGAGATGAGACTACCGTGCGACCTCGAGTTTGGATGCCGACCTGGAGAAGATGTAGCTGATGAAGATTATGTGATCCAGTTACAAAGAAGAATGGGCGATATGCATGAATTGATACGCTCGCATCTTCAAATCGCCAGCGACAGAATGAAGAAGCGATACGATACCCAAGCCACAGAAGGATGTTTCAAGAAAGGCGACAAAGTCTGGCTCCATAACCCAAAAAGACAAAAGGGTTATTCTCAGAAGCTTCTAAGGTCTTGGGAAGGTCCGTATCTCATCAAGAAAAAAATCAATGATGTCATTTACCGTATAAGATCCCGAATGGTAAACCAAAGGTAGTGCACCAAAACCAGCTGGCGCCATTTGAGGGCTACCATGAAGAGGAAGAAGAAGTAAACCAGCTCCAAGAAACACCTGACCTTGTCTTTGAAGAATTTATGGGTGCATATGGAGGTACCGGAAAAGCAAGACATTGTGTTACAACCGAGCAACAACAAGACCTGCTCACGGTTCCTAAAGTTTACTCGCTGGTCCATAGCACTTCGGCCAACATCTACGACGCTCGAGGTCTGGCATCTGTATTCCGGAAGAGGTTTGGTCGATTACCAGAGCTTCAAGATCAGTTTCCAGCCCCTGGAAAAGCATTGAAATTTCAAGATGGATCGCGTTATCTTTTCCATTTGGTAACAAAGAACACCTCTCGAGATCGATCCACCTATCATTATGTATGGGAAGCATTACTCAGTCTGAGGGAGCATGTACTGGAGTCCAATGTACAGAAACTAGCTATGCCAAAGATAGAGAGCAACCAGTTGAATTGGAGAATCATTAGAAACATGGTGGAAATAATCTTCCAAGATACCCAGGTTGAAATACTAATCTGCTGCCATTCTCCCAGCGTTCAGGTTATAGCGAAGACTGTCCCTTGTTACTTCCATGCAACTGGAATTTGTAAAAGAGGATTCAGTTGCAGATACAACCATTCAGTTTTAGTTCCAGGAGGAACTATTTCTTAAGGAGGGGGCAATGTCATGGTAATGCCTAAGCCGTCCCTGTAGAGCGCGACCTTGAAGCCTGCCACTCGACTCATGGACGAAACACCGCTGACGTATAGAGACAAACGTACCGCTTCTCGAATTACCAGAAAAAGCAATACGCGGCCGTTGAGTCATAGAGATGGAATTTTCGGTTGACATTCGAGAGCGTCTAGAAACTACGAGTACAGAGTTGGCTTTGTATAAATAGCGCGAGTTAGTCGACGGACGGGCAGTTTAAAACAAAGTATTGCACTGAAAAGATAAATTGTAATAAATAAGAATTGTGAGTTAGTGTCGTAAGTATTATAAATTAATTAGTACATCATAAATAAATTGTAAATAGTGTGTTTTAAATAAATAAACTATAAATAAATTAAATGAACGTCACATAACAATCAAATTGTGTTAATAATAAGTAAACTCTTAAAAAATTTATCTAATAAAACTAAGTACCTATACAAGAAAATCCTATTCAAAACAAACGAAACATCAAACAATAACAGCGAACTATAATGTCGCTTAAACAGTACAAAAATCACTTCTGTTACAAATTCAGACTGCTCGCTTCTAAAGATGCACCCAATCCTGGATACATTTGACCTCATCAAGCGGTGGACACTTTATTTACATTACTTGTCTATAAGTTGGACGTAGTATATAACGAAATTACAAATTTTTGATTGGTCAGAAGGAGTCTTCGACTTTACTTGTATTTTAGGGCAACTTTCTTTCTATGGAGGGAGGTCCCATAAATTTAAATTTGATTGAGATTCTAAATCAAGCATTTCATTATTATGTTGAATTAGTTTATAATTCTGCCAACCTTTTAAGAAACGTTTATGGCAAGATTTCACTATCTATTCTATTTTGTCTCCTCCATTACAAATTCTCCTAAATTGTTTTTATTTCATTAAGCCTGATGATGATCCTAGTGTCGAAAGAAAATTTAAGAAAAAATAGGTATACAATAATATAGTGGTTTACAGACCTTGAGTTTTTTCATTCATTGTTGAAGCTACTTCGGACCACTTTGAGTCAAGATGGATATTTCAAATTTAAAAAAAGTCATTCAGATTTACTCACCAGATTTATTGTTAAAGTATTTTAGGAATCGTATTTTTTGTGTAGACAACACCACCTAGAAGAGAGGTACCTCGTAGAAATTATTCACCTGAACCTGAGTACGTAGAAAGGCGGCAGGCCAATTATGAAAGAGAATCACCTTCGAGACAGCAGCAGCAGCAGTACTATGAGGCAAGATATATTCCATTTTTTTTATATTTGTTTACTACGACATTGATTATTTTACTTTGTTCCCATGATGCTTTATTCAGTTTTAAATTTCATATATGCGCCGTTGTGAAGTTCACAGTTTTTCTTTAAAACTCAGTAATGTTATTACTATTAGTTTGTCGCTCATTTAACGCCTTGGACATGATCAACGACTGCTCGACACTCTGATGAATCTAATAGACAGCTCGCTACTAGAAAGGTATATTTTCAGAAAAATTGTTCGGTTCTATTCTCAGAATTCTACAAAATATAATCCAGAACAGATATTTCTTTATGGTCCTTCGAACCGGATCGATATTGTTTTATGAATCTAAGTTAATGAAATAAAAATGCTGGTGAAAACAATTTATATGCAGGCCCATGTGCGTTTTGCTGTGGTAATTATTATTTTGTTTTACCAGGATATGCAGGTTTATTCAGTCATACACTGCAAATAAAGAAAATACGAGATACTGAAATGTGAATTATGATAAAATATTTCCGGTAAAAAATTGCGATGATATTAAGGATGAACATGAATGGAAAATTAATTAATTTTTTTTTTGTAAGAACTCTTTTGGGTTTTAGGTAAAATAATAACAAATTTGATTATATAATAACAAATTTGATTATATAATAACAAATTTGATTATATAATAACAACTAAACCAGTACCAAAATCACAAAATATTGATCAAATTATTTAATCAGAGATTAACAGTTTTTTTTTTTCTTAAAAATTAGGGTAACATTTTTTAAGGGTTGCGTAATATGGAAACCGTTATAGTATTATATTCTTTAAAATGTTATCCATCTACTATCCTAAATCATAATGCAATCCCTCTTGGATTTTCCTTGTCCAATTACTTTTATTACTATTATTTTTTTCGAAAGAATTTTAACATTTAAATACGTAATATAAACCAAAATAAGTATTTTAAAGTCCTTTTCATTGGAATCACCACATGGCAACCCATTTTTATATATAAGACAATTATTGTTCCTAAAAGTGGTCCAAAATACAATGAGTGATCCACAAAAAGTTTATAAAGTAGGGTATGGCCGACAAAGACAGATACAAGTCATGTCCGCGACTACTACGCACGCCTCTGAATTAAAACAATATTGAATATCAAAGGAAAAGACAAAATCTCGAAGTCCGTGTCACAGCATAGTCCAGCGTCCGTTTCCCTCCTAAAAACAATTACTTCCTTGGCAGACATTGCATTATACCAAGAGAAAAAGAGCAGAAATAAATAATCATTTTTAATACTCTAGCTTTGATTTTGCTTCCTAAGTTGGATCGGTATTGTCTCTATTATGACTCATCAGCAAGACAATCTCGACTTTCAGTCTCTAATAAAGTCTGCTTAATGTGTTACCTTCACTCGTATGCATTAAAGATGGATGAGAAAGAGAAGGTAGTGAACGAGTAAAAAATGATAACGCCCTTAAGAAGCAAAATTAAAGCTCGCTGTAGTACCTATAGTTCCCTAGAACAAGGCGAAATATGTCGGTTTTGTCTATTATTCCGCCTTGTTCTATAGAACTATAGGTTCTACAGCGAGCTTTGATTTTGCTTCAAGCAGACTTCATCATTAGAGATTAAAGTCGAGATTGTCTAATGCTTGCTAATGAAACCTAATAAGGACGAAACCGGTCCAAGTATGACTTTCTCCTTGGGAAGCAAAATCAAAGCTAGTGTGTTGAAAATGATTTTCTGTCTTTGCTCCTTTTCTCTTGATATAATTAAATGCCTGTTGCGGTATTAGTCAAGGGAGTAGTTGTTTTCAGGAGAGAAACGGTCGCTCGATTTTTCTGTGAAACGGACTTCGAGATTTTCTCTTTTCCTTTGATATTCATTTTTAAATTAGTCACAGAGAAATTGGAATTATTTTATCTAAAAAAATATTTACGAACGAAGAATTGTATACTCCGACATGCATGATTTTTTCACATTTGGAGCGCGATGAACCTGATTCACATCCATGTCTCCATCGGCCTTGGCATACAGAAAACCCTCTGTGGATTACTTGTTAATCTACCATTTGGGAACGCGCGGCAAATCCTACCGTACTAACTGGTGTCGTATGTCGCGCCTTCCCAAATGTGTTTCATATTATTACATGTGTTCAGACGTGAAGAGACCGTATTCGGTCTCCTTCGCTGTCGCTTCGCGTTTGAAGTCGATCTCCGGTCTCTCCTTCCCAAATGGTAGCTTTATACCTACTATCTACTACAAATCACCTTCAGAACCAAAGACCACCCTATGCCCAAACTGGCTGCAACGATGATTTTAATAAAAAATACTTTCTGTGGAGTGCGTTATTTTTGAACGCCAGTATATTTTCAATAAATAACCTATAAAATATTTAAAAAACTAAATTGTAACAATTAACTGTTATAATTTCACTTAAATTTCTTTTATTTTTATACACGCGCTTTATCGATTTAGAAAAACTAAGGTCATTTTTAAAATTTCATTTTCAGTTAAAAATCATTGGACATATTGACATTATTTTTGTTAAATGTTTTTGTATTATACAGAATTTTTTTCATAGTAAATAAATAATTACTAATAAGGATCTGATGGCGGTAGCATGATGACAATAATTGGAGTGTTAGGATATCATCTAAGAACGACGAAATTCCTTAGTAAACTATTGATACATTTAAAAAAGTATTTTGAGCTATTATAAACAACGAAATACATATTTTTGACTTTGTTGAACGAAGAACATTGCATGATTTCGGAAATATTAAGAATATTGATATTTAAAATATCTTAAAATAATTTTGTGGAAACATTCACAGCCAAATTAAAAAGATTAAGAAAAAGCAACTCACAAAATATGTCGATTTAAGTAAAGTTAAGCAGCCAATTGAAACATGTAGATTACATAACTAGCCAAGAATAGACACGAGTAGAAACAAGCAAAATATTATTTAAAAATATTTTCCTCATCTAGTCTCATGATGATTTAAACGAGTTTAACAAGCAATATTGTAACGATAGTCTAATTTATTTATTTATTTAAAAACACACTACAATTTATTTATGACGTACTATTTAATTTATATAATACTTAGACACTAACTAACAATTCTAATTTATTTATTACACTTTAACTTTTCATTCCAATATTCTAAACTAAACTGTCTATAATCAACTGACCGCCGCGCCGTCTTCACACTCGCGATATTTATATCAAGCCAACTCTGTAACCAGAATACTCCAGACGGTCCCGAAAATTCCATCTCTGACTCAACGACTCAGGTCGCACTTGGACAGAGTCGGATTTAGGAATTTAATGACAATATATTGCTTAAAATTATTCTAGCCATCTAATATCATGACCGTGTAAAGAGTTAATTCACCCCATAAACGAATCTAATCTCACTAAAAACCTTGCTCCTCTGCTCTTTCTCCATAATTCCAACGATAGCCAAATAATTTAATGGTGCACTTCACGCTATGATGTTTGTGAGATTTGAACTCTACAGTCTACAGTCCATCGATTCAGTCCAAAACTAAACGTGAAGTGCTCGATCTCACTCACATCTGTGATCTTCCAACATGTTGAATATGTTTAACTGTACTGGAGGACGGTCGTTTCCTCGAGGTTTATCGACGACAAAGAAAATGTTTAGTATTAAATGTGATTGTAAAACATACAAATAATACTACCAGTCAAATAGGATTCTATAAGCAGTGGTCTTTGTTTTGTGGTCATCTAGTTGCTGAATATCTTAAATGGCAGCTAATCTAGCTTTGGGTATAATGCATCTTGAAATGTGTAAATGAAAAACTCAGTTCCCTACGAAGTTAAAAATTGAAAAAGCTGAAAATAAAAATGTGTCCAAGGCAGGGATCAAACCTGGATCTCTATACATTTACTAATTAGGTCACCGGAGCACATAGTTACGATGAACGAATTGGTAAATTATCCCTACGAAGCCACCAATGCTCCATCGCTGGGTCCAAATCAATAGTCATAGCTATGTGCTTAAGTGGCCTAATTGAGGAGTAAATTGAGAGATCCAGGTCTAGGTTTGATCCCAGGCGACACATTTTACTTTTCTTTTCAGCGTTTTTAATTTTTCTTTGGTATGTTTTCATCTTGATGTTGTTAGTTTTAGTATGTTGAACTGATTATTTTAATTATTTTGAATTTTTCTTCACGGTGCATACTTAACACTAAAACTGCAGCCATATTTCTCAACTACTTTTTGATAAGACTCCCTACACTGCACATGTGAACTTTTTTCCTTCGATATCGTCGAAAGACCGACGAAGTGTCTTTTTTCAGATGTGAACGTGAAGGGTAAAAAATAGCTGATTCAATCTTACCTTTAGATCAGAACTGTGCGTTTGAACATTTTAGTTTTTAATTCTTTTAGAAAATAATATTAATTTGACTTTTTCAAAATTCTATTTAATCATCTTCTTTAATACTGTAGTTACAGTTCCAACATATCTTTCAACAGTATTTTAAAATCTAATTTAGAGTGACTCTCACACCTGTACTTGACCCAGTTTTGAATGTTTAGAATCAACGAGTATGATCGTTACTTCCTAATCTCTAATCTTTGGGTTCCTTTTCACCAACAAATTTTTTCTGGTCATTTAGCAAAAGCAGGGAAAAATTTACATATTTAAAAACTTCGTGGTAAGTACCGAATAAATCGAAATTTTCCGATTTTGCAACTCGATACAGGGTCGGCAAAATTGTCAAAAATTACAAAAAACAAAATTAATGGATTGCTGGACGGTCAAAAATTATATCAAATTTGCAGCTACGTTTGCCATTTTTGACAATGTTGCCGCCCTATATCGAGTTGCAAAAAGAAATTTAAAAATGTAAGAATTAATGTTAAATATTCAGATTTGTATGTCTCTTCTTACTGGACTGACCTAATTACAGTTCCGATTCTTCTAAGACCAGCGTTAACAAACTATCTTTGTTTCGCTAAGGACATCTGCAGAACAAAGTACTTGGCAAGTTTGATTACAAATTTATTTGCTGATGTGATAAGTGTAAATTTTAACAATTTCGTTCATCTCGGCATTTGGGGTACATTTGCTGATATGTCCTTGTTCTATAAATACTTCAATCTGCTTGTTTTAAGTCTTCCATTATTCCACCAATGATTCTCCAGACCTGTAGTATTTTGCCACGAATGTGGAATTTATTGTGGAAAAAATCCAGTCAATGCTTAGAGTATGTTCTGTTGCTTTTGATTACTTGAAGATATATTTATTTTTTGTTTAAATAACTGCTTATTCATATATGATAAGCACTAAGGAATATACATAAGCAGATGTTGTATTGATATTGAATAAATGCGATGGAAATTTTAGGCAATTTAATGAAACATTTTTTATGAGTTTTTTTTAATAATAATCTAGAGAAATGTATTAAATTGTGATTGCTATTTTTTAATTTAATATTATTTGTAAAAATATTTCTAACAAGCTTTCAGTTTCAAAGAAACTAATATTAATTAAAATAATATATACATATGTAATATTTTGCTAATTTTTTTTTTAACAGAAATCATCTCCTACTAACACATCATTTGAGGAAACAATAACAGAAACTACCAACTATCGGGAAACTAAAATGGTAAACAGCCAATCGGCGAATTGTATTAAGGTGGGTTGTTTATTAACAAGATGCAGGACATACTTTATCGTTACAGGAAATTAATATACCATCATCCAATCACTTAAAACTTTTATATTACAAGTAGCTCTTTATTGAGAAGTTAGATCCACAAAGTATCTTGAGTGAAACAGAAAAATTAAAAAGTACTGTTAAATAGTGGAAATGTATAATATAAAACTTCTAGACTTTCGATACACATCTATGTTATCACCAAGAAGCTACAAAATTAATTTATTCAGTACAATTTAGGGAAGATGTAAGAAATTAGTATTGTAAGTATTTAGCTACTGTTTTCGTGTATTATCCTTATCCGTAAGGTGTGGCGGGTTACCCCCATGGCACTTATACCTAACTAAACCCATTGTACATCCTCCTAAATTGATAGGCCCCTCTTAGCCCGTTAGCTAGTCGTCCAATAGATTTAATGTAGTTGACAATGCTCGCCGAACACAAATCTTCTAATTAGAGCGTATAGAGAATATGCTCGATGGTCTCATCTTGAGAAAAGAAAAAGAATGCCTGTGATCAGGCGTAGATTCTGTCTAGTCATAGTACTCATAGTAAACTATTTGTTTGCTATAGTGTTTTCGTGATAACTTAAAAGCTCCCTGGCGACTCTGCAGCTTCTTGTTTCATCTCACATTTCCTTAACTTTCACATGGGTATGTTCTTTAATTAGGTTTGTCACTATCGATGTTGTCAGTATAATGGAGGGGCCAGTGAATCAGCAAGCACCTTTTGATGTGGTATGACCTTTGATCCATCTTAAGGTGACCACATTGTTGATTGATAACTAATCCGAAGTAAATTCGTATTCTGCCCAAGGTGAGTAGTGATTGTCTGCTATCTGTATAGATGAGCATGTTCCGTCCAGTGAAATTGTTTCTGGTAACTTCTTTTGCTGCTATGATAATCCACGTGAGCTCTATATTATCCTTATGTATTATTAAATGATATCTATTTTTTTCATCCCCTTTGAGTAAACCAAGTGTATAATCGTTAATTTTTCATTGTGGTAATTGGTAACGGGAAAAATACTGGGGTACGGATTACTCCCAGTTAGAGACGGGGATCTGTGATTTATTTCTTATAAAACTTTGATTATTATGCATAGAGTAGAAACATTACCACAAATTATATGGTGGGGAGAGATGGATATTATTATTTTCTCATTATGCTGCAGGGTGACATATACATGTTTGATGGTTCCATTTCATTGAAATCTGAATGTTGTACCAATAGAAATTAAATTGCATAACGAATCTTGCAAACAAAAAAATATGTTATTATATAATAGTTTGATATATAATCTTTTTTACCTGGTGTTATCGAGCCCATGATGATACAGAAATGTATCGAAATCTTGAAACTTTTATATTAGTGTTCCACTATTTTATCAATGCCTTTGAATTTTGCCATTTTTTCCAAAATACTTTGTGCATATACCTACTATTTTATATCGTTAAATAAGGAATAATGCAATATAATAACCCCTTTCAATTTTTTAATTTGTTTTAAATTATTTATATCGTTTTTGAAACTATAAAGCAGAACTAGTAAACAACTTCTTATAGTTTTCTTATTTTTTGTGTGCGTTATTTACTCCTCAGACAGTGTATCTGCGATATTTTAATTTTTTTTATTGATTTCTTTGTCTCGCAACCAATCATAATTAAGTATTTAACATGATTTGTTTTAATTGGTTAGAAATTATTGTATAAATATATTTTGAAAATTTCCTAGGAATATACAAATGGCGATAGATACTGTCAATCTCACGCTGGAAGTGAATTGTCTGTTCCACAGGCAGTTGATCGGAAGGAACGTTATAGCTGTCCAGCGGCTGCTCACCGACCACCTTTTGTAAGACGACCAGTCACCAGGGTAAGATCAAATAAATGATGTAAATTCCAACACATTGGAGTTCGTAGGCTATTTGGGTTCAAATGTCATTCTAAATAAGTATAACTGGAAGCTTCTAAATTATATAAGCCTATATCACGTTTGTATAATACCTTCTAGATCGGAGACGAGCAAGGAATTTTTTAAAATTACATGACCGTAATAGAGTTTAAGTTGTTTTTTTGGTTTTCCCACTTATTTCTAACATATTTTTTTTTTCTTTAATATATTATTTTTATTACTTGTGTCAACAAATTGCTTTTGATACAAATTTTAAATCAATTATTATGCTCTTTTCACACAGTAGGTAGTCTGAGACTACTAGTCTGTGAAGAGTATTATTCGTTTAGTTCCGTCCTTCCGATATCATGTTTTTTGTCCGCACGATGAGTTAAAAACGAAAAACGATATCAATTTGAAAATTTCAGGAAATATCAAGCTATATAAGGAGACGAAGCTTATTTATTTTGAAAAAATCTGAATAAAAATAGTGGGGTTAAGGGGGTAGAAATAATTAAAAAACTCCTAACTAAAAAACGAAAAAAAAAAATCACAGAACAACATGAATGATACTAAGTTCGAGAGCTCTATAATTCAATTATGAGTTAATAGATTGTACATACCTTACTCGCTCTACCTTAAAAGACCACGAGAGGACATAGACTTGCGTCAACAAGTAAAAAGAGAAAATTGAGGTACTCTTCAAATGTAGCATTATCCTCCACTCTGTGTTAAATACCTCTGAGGTAAACACTTTTTGCACTTTTTTTTTTTCAATTGAAAATGCATGTTACATATTTTTTTAATGACAGCGGAGAATCCTAAAAACTATATTTTATTTTTGAAAACGTACGAATTTTTTTTCAGAATTCAAATATCCTTTCTGCAGTTTTATGTCTAGTAAAAGAGCTGGATTACCCAAGCCTGGAAGTTGTAGATATGGCAGTGAGATGTAGGATGGACGAACTGGTAGAATGACACAAAAAATCTCGAGAGAGCAACGTCGCACAAAACATTAACGAACAGCTTTAACAACATGGTCTGATTTTTTCTTATTATTTACAATATATTGTTAGATTTTTAATGGATTGGGTATAAAAATTATAAGAAAGAAATTAAATAAATAAATCATAACCAGTTTCGTACAAAATGTACAAATTAACTTAAAATTACTGTAGAAAATTAAAAAATATACAATGTAATTTGGTCGATTTATTGGTGCAATCTAATACTAAATACAATATGTAGAAAAATTAAGTCGTCTATTAAATAATCACAGTTCGGAAGATATTTTACAAAAGATTGGCAAAGCATTAAGAAATAAAGAGTGGCCCACAAAGAAAATCTTTCTATAGTAAGCCATGATCAAGCAAGATAAACAGAGATTCGAGTTATGTCCGACGTACGTAAATTCTTCCAAGGCTTACTTTTCAAACATTTTTTGTGGTACATTCCTTACTATTATATTGAAATTGATATTGAACGCACTTATTAAATTTACCGAATACAATCCATTTAAAACATTGTTCAAATAATATTTATTGTGAGTTGTGTTTACTTAATTTTTATTCAAATGTCTTATGGAGTGAAATTTTTTATGGACAATTTTTTACAAGCAGTTTTAAATTATAGAAGCTGATAATAATTAAATTAAAAAGCGTTTGCCACGTTATATACAATTTTTATACCGCTACTATATTCAAAAAACGCGAAATATGATATATTATGTATTATTAAAACTTGTGCAATAAATTAATAAACGAATATTGCACGCTGTGTTCTTTGGAGTTTGTATTTAATATTGCAAAAAGGACACGTTGTGATATGCAAAATTCACTGGTACGCCTTATTTGAAGTAATTTTGTTGGGTATGAAGGTAGTGTAATTTATAAGAGTTTGTTGTACTGTTTTAAAGCGTTTTTATGGGATCCTTTTTCTACTTTATCAATTGTTTAATTTCCTTTATTTTATATATAGAACATCTGACACGTTTTTTCAGACAAATACTCATTTTTTTTTTAATTAGTTCAGAGTTTCCACATAAAAACGACGTTTTTAAACGTATTAGATATCAAGGATCATCTGAAGTGTTTGGATTGTCTTGATTTTGAAAATAATTATTTTTGTTGGAATTATGCATTGATATTGAGATATTGTGATAAAATTAATTTTACGAATGATTGCATACATTTTTGTGTTATTCAATTGGAATCCTGCTCAACAAAAAATGTTTTTTTTTTTAATTATATTTTAGAAATTATAAATTTATTTTATAGACAATTTTGAAGTTGCTTTATTATTTCCAAGATAATTTTGCATCATTCACTGCTTACGTAGAAAATCGATAGATTAGAAAAATGATTCTATTTGTTTAACATATCTGTGTTAAATAAATATTCTTCTGTTTTGAATATTTTCTCTAATGTTAAATTTGCAAACGTTTCTATTCCTTTAAAAGTAGTTACTATATATTTCGTACCAATAAATTGCTCACAGTAGGAAAATATAGAAAATTTAGAATAAAATAAATATTGTTTAAGTATCTTTAAATACATCACTATTATTAGCAGATGGATAAAATCAAAGGTACTTCCTACTAATTTTCTTATTCTAAATAAGGTTTTAGAAGAATAGAAAAGTTTAGTTTGAAATTAGGGCAGACAAATATTTTTATAGATCTGACGACTGTAATATACATTTTCTTGATGTTTTTTTATTCCATGAATGTCTTTTGGAGTTTGAAAGAGGTTGAATTTTAATATTTTATTGTATTATGAACTATTGTTGTGCGTATAGTTATAAATTCTTGCCAAAAATTATTTTGAATCGGTTGATTATATTTGTAAATAGAATTTTTTATTCCATCCATTTAGCCTTTGTTCAAAAGTGCTTTTTATATTTTTATTAATTATTAATCTAGTCGTTAACAATTCGTTTGTACTTTTATAGATATTATTTACTGTAACTACGTTATTAAATTTTGTTTATTTTTTTTAAGTAAAATATACAGTTACGTAAGACTAGTTTTTACTTTACCTTAACAAAGTGCATGGAAAAACCACCGAGAGGACTTTTAAAACATTAGGAACAGGCTACAAATAAGTACAGGTTTGAGTTATTATCTGATAAAGAAGAAAGCCTCTTCACCATATTATATCCCCAAATGCACACAATATTAAAGGAACAATGGCGTGATCCCAGAATTATAAGCATCCATTCCAAAGACGCACCAGTAAGACACGAAGAATGCAAAAAAGTTCATTAAAATTTAGGAGCCTGATAAACTTTGACATATGTTTAGCAAATTTGAAGTTCATGTTTCAGACGGCTCAGATTTTCAAGTCGTCAAAGTTGATTAAGGTGAGAGTTTAATTGCGTTTAATTTTATTTTCTAATAAATTTGAAAACTATACAAATTAAAGAGCTAAGATTTTGTAGACGTTTTTGAAATAAATCAGAGCAGTTGCTGACGCCAATATAAATTAAAGAGCTAAGATTTTGTAGACGTTTTTGAAATAAATCAGAGCAGTTGCTGACGCCAATATAAATAATGTAACTGATAATAATAAAAATAAAAGTTTAAACAATTATTGTATTTGTAAATTCACATCCACATAATTATCTTTTATACGAAATCGTTAGAAATTGATATGTGTGATGGATGGGCGATTAATTTATCGTGCAGTTTCAGAAAGAGAAGGAAGGTTATTCTCGAAATATATATATTGATATGAATATAAAAATGTAGATGTATAATTTATTTTTAATACCCAGTATAGCTAGCTCAGTAATTATATAACTTTTTTATTATATATATATATATAAAAGATAAAAGGATTATTGGGCAAATACCGCAAAAAATGAAAAAAAAAATGCCTAAAGGCAAACCGTAGACACGTGTTTCTGACTATTGGTCTTCATCAGTACGGTGCAGCCAAGTTCAAAAGAGAATGGAACTTGGCTGCACCGTACTGATGAAGACCAATAGTCAGAAACACGTGTCTACGGTTTGCCTTTAGGCATTTTTTTTTTCATTTTTTGCGGTATTTGCCCAATAATCCTTTTATCTTTTATATTTTGTTCATTATTTAGGTTATATAGATAGCTAAAATGGCCTGCGTATTAAGTATTTTTCAGATCGGTTATGAACGTTTTATAAAAGAGTAGAAGCATACTGGATGTCTCAAAAGAAACGCAAAATTAATAGCACCTTCTATAATTAAAATTCGGCATAAAGGTAGGTAAGTTAGTGTTTTGAAATGATTTCTTTTTAGATTTTCTCGTTTTATTTCACGGAGCTGTGACGTGATTTTGTTTAATTTTCTTAAAAACAGTTCGAGAAAAATGAGAATTAGGTATTATTAATTAGGTACTGGATTTTTATTTAAATTAACTAACTTAATCGTAACTAGAAATCCGAAAAGTCAGTATATCTGAAAAAAAAGTGGCTGAAATATTTGATATTAGCGAAATAAAAAACTTTCTTACGACACGTACTAGTGTAGGATATATACCGGGTGTCCTATAGGATTCTGGCCAGCTATTGTCTAAATAATTTAATAGCATCAAATCAACTTTTGCCAAACCACCCCCTAGAAACGATCCCTAGCCGAGCGGCTAGCGTGAGATTAGTGTACATCCGCGTTTTCGCAACAGTTAAGCCGTGACATCTAAAGTCACGTCGTGGATGATTGTCGGCTGGGACGATTACCATGGGCCATGCCACCATGTGATTTAGCCAACAAGCGTTTAACCATCGACGATGTGAAATTAATAACGGTGAATGAGTGAGTAATTGGGAAAGTAGTGGGACGTTCAAATGGTGGTACAATAAACTGCAAGCTGCAGTGCCACCATGCTACAAATGGATTAGGGTAATACTATACGGAGGTTCCAAAGGGTGTAAAATAAAACCATTCCTGGCATTCAATTTCAAGCTCATGGTTTTTTGTTAATATCCAATTTATCACCCTCAGTTCAGTCATATATCATATTGCTTTTTTTAGGCTGTATTTATATGGTCAAAATGGTAAAAAAAAGGCTGACTTAACATGGGAAATATTTTACTATATAATACAAATTTAATTTCTTATTTTTGTAGGAGGTAGTTTAAATCAACCGCTTGTCAAACCACGCAAACATAAAAGATAATGGTGGTTTCTAGCGGGTAGTTTTACAAGAGGTTGATTTGGGTTCATCAGGTAAAACACTTTTATCCCTTTTAACAGTTATCCAGAAACATATGGGACACCTGGTATATACATTAATATATTTTAGTATATTATTGTTTAAATTTAGTTTTCTGTGTGATTTGCGTTGTTCCTTTAGCGGTTTGTTTCATGACATGCCGAAAACGAAAAACATATTTTTTGTTGAAGAAAATTGTATCCTCGGTTTCAAAGCGGTAACGCCATATAGGTATGCCGCTGACAACAAAAAAACTTCAAAGCGGCTGCCAAAATGGGTTTGAACTATACCGCAATCGCCGCCAAGTGTGGCTCGAATTGAGGTAGTCATATAAGAATTTTGTTAAAAAGAGATAAATAGATAAAATGATCTAGGCACATAAGTTGTATTAAACAATAAGTCAACTATAAAGGAATACCGCAAATGCAAAAAAGGGTCGGCCAATGCTTGAAGTACTCTAAAAAAATTGGTGTACAAAACGAATTGTTAGCGGGAAGTCAACTAGCTAAAAACATCAACAAATCGACCTCTTTGATTTACCGCCCATAGACGGAGATATATTTTTTTACTTAAAATGTTATTCGTATATTATTCATCATTGAGTCAAAATACTTGATTTCAATTCTTTTTTCCGCATTGAATAACGATTTTATATTTCATTTATTAATTAATATAATTAATCGTAGAAATTGAAATATTTGTTGATTGTTTTTTTTTACAATGAGCCTATCCTACATTTATTCTTAGTATTTAATAAAAATTTTCTTTTAATTTGTCTTACAAAGTAACATTTTTTGTAATCTAAAGTGTCCAAATAATCCGCACCTACTTTAAGTAACTAGTTACATAAATTAAACTGGTTTTCATAATTATGTTCATTATTGAAAAAGAAAATAAATTAAAAAAAAACATGTTTGGTATTTAAATTAATATATGTATAGGTACCTCTATTGCTTTTGAAAATATATATAGGAAGAACGAAGATTGGTTATATAAAAATACATTTGGACAATGCACTAAGGTACAATTAGTAATAATTCTGGTTCATTCGCTATTTTAAAGTCATCCTAAACCTGAACAAAATAATCGAAACACTGTTTCACCCAATACACGAGAAAAAATTAAGATATCTCTAACTATGTACTATGCAAAATAACCCCCACTTTCTTGACAAGAAAAAGAAAATTGTTTTGATGATAAATATTTAAATATTTTAATAGTATCAGATTGGTGTGAAGTTGACTATTATTTCCAAATATTTATTTTCTAATATCTTATCGGTTAGTCATTTTTTTCCAAACAATTCTATAAATAAAAAAAATTAAACAAACTAACCAATATTTAAATAATAAACACACATCTCCGACGCCACTGGCTCTTCCTAATTTCTTCTGCTTCTACATGTAAGCGAATAGCTCGTCTATACCGGTTAATCTTAGCAAAGTAGAGAAAGATAATGAATAATTGGAATACTGTATATTTCGTACAGAGTTAGATCATATTATTTTTTAATATTATTTTCGTGGTATACCAATGTCGAAAAGCATCGTATAATCAATACGCCCGGTAGTCACTCCTTTTTAAAAATATATTGAGATATAAAAAATATAGTAATTTTTTTTGGAGCATCTTCAAAATATCCTATTAAATATTATCATGTAAAACCTAATGCTTGTCGTAATTAAAAAATACACCAGTCCTTTACATTGGTCTGATTATAGTGGTAAAGTTGAGCCTCAGTCCCCTTCCATTTTTAAATTCCGTTATTTTTAAAACAAAGATGCATTTTAATAAAATATTTTTGTACCGATACTATTTTTATTTCTACAAAAAAAAAAAAAAAAAAGATCGGGATTTATAATATGGATCGGCATCACTGCAATATATCCGTCGAGTGCACAAAATGCGATCACCTGCGAGTCAGTAGCAGAAGCTTCCGTCCAAATTAGGGAAAATAGTTTTGAGGAGAACGTTTTTGGTTTATCGCTGTTATTAAGGGTTCGAATATAAGATATGTAACGGCTCCCGATCGCCGAGGAGGTCGTTTTAAACTGCCGCCTAGCTCATAAATTTTAAGGAACGTTCTTGTAACCGGTTTTTAAGGTTTTAGATTGGATGCTATTATTATACTGAAAGTACTCATCTTAATAAATATTAGGTGCCGTACTATCCTATATGTGGCTCTTCTTAAACAAAACATGGTATATACACAGGCGTTTGCGATTTGATGACGTACGGCAGTGTACCGCGGTACAGCGTCTTGCAGTTTTAGTTGGAAACCAATCATCTCGGTGGGAACGCTATATACTATACCGTAAAGGTACTCATTCGATGGTCGCTGCAGATATATGCTGCAGCTGCAAGCGGCCAAGAGAAGATGCAGATACACTACCGTTCTAATGAAATTAAATGAATCGAGACACTTGCTAGCTGCTGCTGTCTCGTGCATTTAACGGCACCTCATTTAATTTCATTAGAACGGTGGTAGTGTCTCTGCATCTTGTCTAGGCCGCTTGCAGCTGCGCATGTCTATAATTTAATCGTGATTTAGCATTTTATTAATATTTTACTATCAGTTTAGCACCTGATTTTTAAATCTGGTTTTAATATCGGTTGGCAGTACCAAAATTGTAAAATAGTTCAGATTGTCCGCGAAATAGGAAGTACTTAGTAATTCGATCGAATGTTAATTTTATTGGTCCAGTTGACACTGGTCCTTTTTTAACACGCTTATATTAGCTTCACCTGTATGTATGTATGTCACTCTCCTTTGGACTCAAGTGGCTTATTACTGTCAGTATATCCCACTAAGTCAAGTTCGTTCGTTGGCCGA